GGATTGGACCTCAGGGCTGAGGCCAGAGCAGAGCAGCTCAACTCTGACAATCTGCAACTGTTCAAACTGAATAAAAAAAACAGGTTAAGAAAAGATTAAGAAATAACGTCACCACCCGTCAACAATGTCTTATTTTCAAATGATCTTCAAACGTTACATTTATCATAAAATATAATACTTTTTTTTTTCACCTGCCTGTTTCGGCCCGCGGTTCATAGGGTTGACACCCTGCTCTATGTTCAATTCTCTCCCAAATCATAGCAGCAGCGAACAAAAGAGCCAAATGGAGACGATTCGCTAGCAACGACCAGAAAAGTAACCTTACCCTAAAGTCTCCAGTCGACAGTCAGGACTCTGCAGATAACCGCACAACTCTTGGACTCCTGAATCCTGGAGCTCGTTACTTCCGAGATCCAGCGTTCTCAAATGGGACGGATTGGATCTCAGAGCTGAGGCCAGAGCAGAGCAGCTCAACTCTGACAAACTACAAATCCTCATCCTAAAATTCAAAGAGAGGAAAGAAGAGAAGGCTATGGGCCTATTAAAGAGGAACGGGAGGACGATTACATAAAGTTCCCACCGCCAAACATTCTAACAACCACTGCTACTGTTATTATTAGTATTATTAATATTGTTAGTATTAAAACTCACAATAAAGTCTGCAGTTGACAGTGCGGTAACTGCAGGTAGCGACACAGCTCCTGGACTCCAGAATCCTGTAGTTTGTTGTGAATAAGGTTCAACTCTCTCAGGTAGAAAGGATTGCTTGAAAGAGCTGAGGCCAAATAGGAACAGCCAATCCCTGTAAACTTGCAGTCGTGTAACCTGTATAAAAAATAAAATATTTTTGGTGTTAAGTGTCAAATACACAAAGACAGTTAAAAAAAATAGACAAATAACAACAAAACTTTTTAGCTAGGTGTTTCCAAATGTTTTTCTCAGGACCTATGTCTTAAAAGTCACAAACATTCGCAACCCAAGTCAATAGACATTATTCGTAAACTCCTGGGAAACATGACGCGAGACGACCCAAAAAAAAACAACTCTTGCGAACAATCTGAAGGTCACGACCCAGTCTTTGGGTAACAATGTTTTAGCTCACAGGCCAAAATGAGGTTCAAAATACAGTATAACGGGTGGTATTGTAGAATGCTGGGCGAAATAATGAATTTAAAAATGTACGAGAATGAACCTAAACCTTTGAAGATAATTTGGCACATTTGATGTCTGCTGCCATTTAGTGGCATCAACAGAAATTACAGTCGGTTCGTTGTGCTAATGCATGAAACAGAAGGATCGACATCAGCCCTTACCAGACCCTTGTACCAGTGTTTAGTGCATTGTTTCCCAAAGACTGGGTCGCGACCTTCAGGTGGATCGCAAGAGATTTGTTTTGGGTCGTCTCACATTATGTTTCCCAGGAGTTTGCGAATAATGTCTATTGACTTGGGACGCGAAGGTTTGTGACTTTTAAAATACGGGTCCCCAGATAAAAACGATTTCGATCGATTTCGAAAGTCCAGCTGGCCATATCTGGCCCACGGGCTGCAGATTGCCTAAAGTGTCTTTCATTTAGTCTTTCAAGTCAAAACCAAGAACATCAAGGAGAAATGAATGCGGTCAACTCACGACAGACTCTCCAGTCTACAGTTCTGACTCTCCAGTCCTGAACACAGCATCTTCACTCCCGAGTCTTTTATTTGGTTCAAATCCATTGTAAGTCCTCTCAGGTATGATGGGTGGGACTTCAGAGCAGTGGCTACAACTTCACAGTGAGTCTCTGAGAGTCGTAGACCCCGAAGTCTGTGATGAAGAGACCAGGTCTGACAAGTTAAAAAGGGGAATACAAAAGGGCACGTACCACAACGACGACGAACATTTAATTGAGAACCCCAGGGAATCAACCCGTCAACTTTTAAAGTCATTATTATTATTCTTACTGGACAATTCTGTGTGTAGACTTTTCTTAGTGTGGACCGTATTTTCCGTATTCTCCTATAAGTTGCACTTTTTTTTCATCCTCTAGCTTGGTTTGCGACTTATACTCAAGTCCATCCATCCATTTTCATCCGATTATCTGTTACCGGGTCGTGGGGGCAGAAGTCTCCACGACCGCCACCCAGATCACACTGCACCGTACCAACCCCCCAAACCTTCCTGCAGGTGGTGAGTCCACTGGAAGGTACCAACCGCCCTAACTGGGATTCGATCTTGCCCAGACGGTAAACCCTGGGGTTCCACACCAACGACAGAGACATTGCCTCTGGGCCAAAGCGCCACTCTTATACTCAAGTGCGACTTATATATTGAAATATATAGTTTTACATGTTTGTTATTTTCACACTGACAGCCTCTAGATGGCAGAGATGTGACCTCTATTCGGCAACCACTTATATATGTTTTTTCTTTGTCATTATGCTATTTATTTATTTATTTATTTATTTTTGCTGGTGCGACTTATAGTCCGGAAAATACGGTACTTCTCGATTTTTTGCAAAAGTATCATTCTGTATTGATTGAATCGACAAAATCAATATTTAGGTGTGGACTCACAGAGCCTTCCTGCACTTCCTCACAGCAGGGATCAGTCTCCGTTGTCCTTCCTCTGTCGTTGTGTACCTTTTTGGGTTGAACTCATCCAGGATCTCTTCTGACATCTGCAGTGCGTAAGCCAGAGCCGAGCAGTGGATTTCGGAGTTTATCTTCTTTGACTTTTGCTTCGACTTTAAGAACCTCTGGATGTCCGCGTGCACGGATTGGTCGTTCATCTCCGTCAAACAGTGGACCATGTTGACACTTCTGTCAGGCGAGCAAAGGTAGGCCTCCGTTTTTTTCAGGTCTTGTATTATAGTCTCGAAGATTTCTGGACTGTTCTTTTTCTGACCCACTAGGCCCAGTAAAAATCTCTGGTTCGATTCCAGACATAGGCCATAAAGGAAGCGAACAAACAGATCCAGGTGACCAGATTTACTTTCGAGGGATTTCATGGTGGTTCGTCTTAGGACTTCATTCAGTGAGAAGACACTAACTTTGGTGTTTCGTCTCGGATCCCAGGGTTCAAATTCTTCACCCAGGAAGTTCTCCAGTATCTCGGTCTTCTGCTCAACAGTGCAGTGGAACATGTAGACCGCAGCCAGAAACTCCTGGACGCTCAAATGGACGAAGCAGTAGACCGTGTTTTCGAAGATAACGCTCTCTCTTTTGAAAATGGCGGTACAAATCCCAGAGTAAATGGAAGCATCGGTTACATTTAAACCACACTCTTCGAGGTCTCTCTGGTAGAACATGATTCGTCCCTTCTGCAAATGTTCAAAGGCCAGCCTCCCCAGCTTCAGGAGAAGGTCCCTGTCGGCCTCCTGCAGCTCTGGTGAACCCATTGGACGGTACTTGTTCTTCATTCTTCTTATCTGTATCTGCAGGAAGTATGAATACATGTCCGTAAGGGTCTTGGGAAGCTCTTCCCTCTGCTCTGAGGTCAACATGTGCTCCAGAACTGTGGCAGTGATCCAGCAGAAGACCGGGATTTGACACATGATGTAGAGACTCCTTGCTGCTCGGATGTGTGAGATGATTGTTCCGGCGGGCTCTTTATCTCCAAATCTTTTCCTGAAGTACATCTCCTTATGGACATCGGTGAACCCTCGTACCTCCGTCACCCTGTCCACGCATGTGCATGTGCGTGAGATCTGATTGGCTGCCGCAGGTCTGGTGGTGATCCAGACGAGAGCGGAGGGAAGCAGGTTTCCTCGGATGAGGTTTGTCAGCAGCACACTGACAGACGCCGTTTGTTCGACATCCTCCACGACCTGGTTATCGACGAAGTCCAACGAGAGCGCGCTTTCATCCAGACCATCGAAGATGAATAAACATTTGCAGATGGCAAGTTTCCCCGCTGTCATTTTCTGTAATGTTGGATGGAAATCGTGGAGCAGTTTGAGGAGACTGTACGGCCGATCCCTGATCAGGTTCAGCTCTCTGAAGGACAGCAAACAAAGAAGACCGACGTCTTGGTTCTCGGAACCCTCCGCCCAGTCCAGAGCGAACTTGTGCACCAAGAACGTTTTGCCAACGCCAGCGACACCGTTTGTCAGGACAACTCTAATGTTCCCCTGCTGGTCAGTTAGGGCTTTGAAGATGTCGGAGCACTTGATGGGCGTGTCATCGAAAATCCTGGTTTGGAACGTCGCCTCCAGCTGCCACACCTCATGCTGCGGGTTGATTTCTTCACTCTGTCTCTCTGTGATGAAGAGCTCGGTGAAGATCCTCTTGAGGCAGGTTTTGCTCTCTCTTTCGTCGGCTCCTTCAGTCACACTTTCGCATCGACTCTTCAGACTGCACTTATGCTCATCTAAAACCTCCTGGAGACCAAAATCTGTTGAAGGACAAGTGACAAAATAACAAAAATACACAATAAATTAGGGGTGTGCATCAGTAAGAATCTGGCGATACGGTACGAATCGCAACGCAGGGGCAGTGATACAATATACTGCGATATAGTGCGTTACTATAGGCAGAACGAAGAAAGATAAGAAAAAGAAAATGAACCAACACCAGGAATATTTGACTGGGAATTGATGAGAAAAAAGATCAATACCGTGCTGCGAAATATCGATATGGAATTGTGAAACGAAATATTGCGATATTTTAGTGTATCAATATTTTCGAACACCCCTAAGAATAAATCATGCTAATATTTGGCACTGAAATGTCAGCGTCTGTCCAGCCATCGTTAGTTCGTGTATCGTATACCTTTTTCTGATACGTCCATGTTGGCACTTGACTCACCTGTGTGCCCACATGTTTTTGAAGTTTTTTTGACAACTGTGCCAACAACTAATTAAAATATTGGAAATCCCAGCTTCCCGAATTCACCTTCGACTTTTTTACCATATGTACAAAGTTCGGGGAGACAAGGGGTAAACGATAGGGGTAGAAATGAGAGATACGATCAGGCCTCATTCTGACCGAATGCCGGTGCCCAAGGTCCTGTTCTGGATCTGCATCCACACTGGGAACAAGAGGAGTCCAGTGTATTAGACTGTTGGCAGGATGAGCAGAGATCCTTGAAGTCATCCTGAGCCAAAGTGCAGCGGGACACCTGCTGGTCCACAGAGACACCAACCCTGTCTCTAGGGCAAAAAAGAAAACGAAAAGAAATAGAGGACCAAGATGTTTTCATTGTGTCTAGAGTTCTTTGGCACCTTGGTCTGGCCCAGAAAGGTTTGAAGAAAAGGAGCAATGATGGTTCAGTATCAGACATACTTTTTGTGGGATGGTCTAGGTTCTTTCCCGAAGCTTAATGGTTCCTTTTTGGACCGGTCACTCATAGCAGACACACAGCTCGGTACTGGTGACACTGATCTGTAGTTCTGACCTCTGTAAACACAGACGATAAAGTACAGGTTTTTCTTGTTTTTCTATGATCATGGCTCAGACAAAAAAAATGTATCAAAATGTCTTACTCTTTGTGGGATGGTCTAGGTTCTTTCCTAAAGCTTAATTACAGAAGATAAAGTACAAGTTTTTCTGGTACAGGTCTGTACCTGTTTTTTTGTTTTTCTAGGTTCTGTGTTTTGTGGGATCTGAACCAGACCCAAATGGCTCAGACAAAAAAAATGTATCAAAATGTCTTACTCTTTGTGGGATGGTCTAGGTTCTTTCCTAAAGCTTAATTACAGAAGATAAAGTACAAGTTTTTCTGGTACAGGTCTGTACCTGTTTTTTTGTTTTTCTAGGTTCTGTGTTTTGTGGGATCTGAACCAGACCCAAATGGCTCAGACAAAAAAAATGTATCAAAATGTCTTACTCTTTGTGGGATGGTCTAGGTTCTTTCCTAAAGCTTAATTACAGAAGATAAAGTACAAGTTTTTCTGGTACAGGTCTGTACCTGTTTTTTTGTTTTTCTAGGTTCTGTGTTTTGTGGGATCTGAACCAGACCCAAATGGCTCAGACAAAAAAAATGTATCAAAATGTCTTACTCTTTGTGGGATGGTCTAGGTTCTTTCCTAAAGCTTAATTACAGAAGATAAAGTACAAGTTTTTCTGGTACAGGTCTGTACCTGTTTTTTTGTTTTTCTAGGTTCTGTGTTTTGTGGGATCTGAACCAGACCCAAATGGCTCAGACAAAAAAAATGTATCAAAATGTCTTACTCTTTGTGGGATGGTCTAGGTTCTTTCCTAAAGCTTAATTACAGAAGATAAAGTACAAGTTTTTCTGGTACAGGTCTGTACCTGTTTTTTTGTTTTTCTAGGTTCTGTGTTTTGTGGGATCTGAACCAGACCCAAATGGCTCAGACAAAAAAAATGTATCAAAATGTCTTACTCTTTGTGGGATGGTCTAGGTTCTTTCCTAAAGCTTAATTACAGAAGATAAAGTACAAGTTTTTCTGGTACAGGTCTGTACCTGTTTTTTTGTTTTTCTAGGTTCTGTGTTTTGTGGGATCTGAACCAGACCCAAATGGCTCAGACAAAAAAAATGTATCAAAATGTCTTACTCTTTGTGGGATGGTCTAGGTTCTTTCCTAAAGCTTAATTACAGAAGATAAAGTACAAGTTTTTCTGGTACAGGTCTGTACCTGTTTTTTTGTTTTTCTAGGTTCTGTGTTTTGTGGGATCTGAACCAGACCCAAATGGCTCAGACAAAAAAAATGTATCAAAATGTCTTACTCTTTGTGGGATGGTCTAGGTTCTTTCCTAAAGCTTAATTACAGAAGATAAAGTACAAGTTTTTCTGGTACAGGTCTGTACCTGTTTTTTTGTTTTTCTAGGTTCTGTGTTTTGTGGGATCTGAACCAGACCCAAATGGCTCAGACAAAAAAAATGTATCAAAATGTCTTACTCTTTGTGGGATGGTCTAGGTTCTTTCCTAAAGCTTAATTACAGAAGATAAAGTACAAGTTTTTCTGGTACAGGTCTGTACCTGTTTTTTTGTTTTTCTAGGTTCTGTGTTTTGTGGGATCTGAACCAGACCCAAATGGCTCAGACAAAAAAAATGTATCAAAATGTCTTACTCTTTGTGGGATGGTCTAGGTTCTTTCCTAAAGCTTAATTACAGAAGATAAAGTACAAGTTTTTCTGGTACAGGTCTGTACCTGTTTTTTTGTTTTTCTAGGTTCTGTGTTTTGTGGGATCTGAACCAGACCCAAATGGCTCAGACAAAAAAAATGTATCAAAATGTCTTACTCTTTGTGGGATGGTCTAGGTTCTTTCCTAAAGCTTAATTACAGAAGATAAAGTACAAGTTTTTCTGGTACAGGTCTGTACCTGTTTTTTTGTTTTTCTAGGTTCTGTGTTTTGTGGGATCTGAACCAGACCCAAATGGCTCAGACAAAAAAAATGTATCAAAATGTCTTACTCTTTGTGGGATGGTCTAGGTTCTTTCCTAAAGCTTAATTACAGAAGATAAAGTACAAGTTTTTCTGGTACAGGTCTGTACCTGTTTTTTTGTTTTTCTAGGTTCTGTGTTTTGTGGGATCTGAACCAGACCCAAATGGCTCAGACAAAAAAAATGTATCAAAATGTCTTACTCTTTGTGGGATGGTCTAGGTTCTTTCCTAAAGCTTAATTACAGAAGATAAAGTACAAGTTTTTCTGGTACAGGTCTGTACCTGTTTTTTTGTTTTTCTAGGTTCTGTGTTTTGTGGGATCTGAACCAGACCCAAATGGCTCAGACAAAAAAAATGTATCAAAATGTCTTACTCTTTGTGGGATGGTCTAGGTTCTTTCCTAAAGCTTAATTACAGAAGATAAAGTACAAGTTTTTCTGGTACAGGTCTGTACCTGTTTTTTTGTTTTTCTAGGTTCTGTGTTTTGTGGGATCTGAACCAGACCCAAATGGCTCAGACAAAAAAAATGTATCAAAATGTCTTACTCTTTGTGGGATGGTCTAGGTTCTTTCCTAAAGCTTAATTACAGAAGATAAAGTACAAGTTTTTCTGGTACAGGTCTGTACCTGTTTTTTTGTTTTTCTAGGTTCTGTGTTTTGTGGGATCTGAACCAGACCTAAACTGCTCAAACAAAAAAAATTATCAAAATGTCTCACTCTTTGTGGGATGGTCTAGGTTCTTTCCTAAAGCTTAATTACAGAAGATAAAGTACAAGTTTTTCTGGTACAGGTCTGTACCTGTTTTTTTGTTTTTCTAGGTTCTGTGTTTTGTGGGATCTGAACCAGACCCAAACTGCTCAAACAAAAAAATTTATCAAAATGTCTCACTTTTTGTGGCATTGGTCTAGGTTCTTTCCTAAAGCTTAATTACAGAAGATAAAGTACAAGTTTTTCTGGTACAGGTCTGTACCTGTTTTTTTGTTTTTCTAGGTTCTGTGTTTTGTGGGATCTGAACCAGACCCAAACTGATCAAACAAAAAAAAACTAATTTTCATGCAGAAACTATAAAAATATCGAAAATTGTATCAAAATGTCTTACTCTTTGTGGGATGGCCATGGTTCTTTCCCGAAGCTTAAGGGTTCCTCTTTGGACCGGTCACTCATAGCAGACACACAGCTCGGTACTGGTGACACTGATCTGTAGTTCTGACCTCTGTAAACACAGACGATAAAGTACGGCTTTTCCTCGTTTTTGATTTACTTTTTTCTGTGTTTTGTGGGATCTGAACCAGACCCAAATGGCTCAGACAAAAAAAATGTATCAAAATGTCTTACTCTTTGTGGGATGGTCTAGGTTCTTTCCCGAAGCTTAATGGTTCCTCTTTGGACCGGTCACTTATAGCGGACACACAGCTCGGTACTGGTGATCCTGCTCTTCCTTCTACACAAGTATTCATCTTAAATACAGACAATAAGTCTGTGAAGACACATACCACTACTGTTCACTCCATTTATTTGGTAAATTTCAGGGCGATTACTTATCAGACTGATTTAGATTCCGTAGAGCAAATTCAAAAATAATGATGGAATCTTCATAAAAAAAAAAAACCAACTATATACTACAAATAAATCCTTGATCACTTTTATTACAAATGATTGTACTGAAGAAGCTCAGACATAAATGGAGGGATCAGAGATTTTATCAATCTATACACAAATACAAATAACTTGATAAAAAAATTAGATGTTATGTTTGTTTTTTATTTGTGTTTTACGTCATCATAATGAGTCAAACTGAAATGAATGTAGTTGGAGGTACAGTACGTAGGTCCTCTTTACGCTATACATACTCCACTTTTTATTTGCGCATTCCAAAGTGGGATCAAGAAGGGAGCGGGAATGTGTATATGTCCGAGCCAGGATCACGGTCCGTGAACACAACGTCATCCCTAGAGAAGACTTTATGACTAACCGGTGTCAATCGTGGCGAAAAGTGGAACGGACCACGTTTTTTTTTTTTTTTTTTTTTTTTTGTTGACGATAAGGTTATTTTACAGCAAAGTGTAGAACTAGCGCTAAAACACCTCAAAGTGTCATGAGAGCAAAGTTTGTGGTAAGTTAGCCTATACCAAAATGCTAGCATTCTAGCTAGCGCCGACATCAATTTAAGTTTAGTCTCTCCGGGACAAAAGTTGCAGACGGGATAACGGATAACATTTATTTTTGAATAGTATTATATTGTTTTTATACTATGTGTTTTGTGTTCGGGAAGAGCCAAAATGGCAAAAAAAACCCAAACAAAACAACAACAAAAACCAAACAAACAAACCGTGTTTTTATAATTCTTTCACCGTGGGTTAATGCAATTGTTAACGTAATGTAGTGGAATTTAGTCAGGCGATATCCGCGGCTCCTTTATCCCAATTTGAGGAGCCGCGGATAAAGAGCACATATCGAGGATACGTCAACAACAAGGATAAAACTTGAAATAAAACGACCAGGTATTATCGTTAAATACTGTACTTACATTTGTCGTGCGTCACGCAGTTGAACTCATCGAGAAAACACGTTGAAAGAGACCAAAATAAAATAAAATAAAATGCAGATTTAGCGGCGACGGAGAAATGTTCAGTAAATGCAGGAGGGATCTGGGTGTTATTGCTGGGAGGAAAAGGAAATAAAATGTCCAAAATCGTGCCGAAATGAGCTCCACCCCCCACCCCCATAGTAAGGAATTACACGGCAGAGAATGAAAGGATGGGTCTTGAAAAAAGAAATGCAACTGTACGGGATCGTTATCGGCCAAAATAAACACGTAGGAAGGCTAGTGACGCCGAGGGCATGGTCTTTATTTGTTTCATAAATAGCACACAAATGCATTCATAAATATAGAAACACAATTAAACTGTCAATAGAGTCATATTTAACAATAATAATAATAAAAAAATAATGTAAATAAAATACAAACACAGGTGTCTTCACACTAACTCTAAAGAGCCCCGTCTGGGTGATGAAACGATCAGGACAGCTCAGTGTAGATGGGAAACCTTCACTTTACTAATCCACACTGAGAAAGAAATTAAATTAATCAAAATTGCTCCTCCCTCTTTCGGCCCCCTCGCCCCCGTGACCTAACGTGGGAGAGAAGAACGTCCTCCTCTAGATACCTGGAACTTCAGAAGGTCCTCCATGTCGTCATTTTAATGACAATGCTACAAACTAAACTAAAAGTCGAAGTATCGGACTCAGCAGCCGCTCTCTGCCCTTCTCCTCTTTTT